TATATGCTAGTATATAACATTCATATAAATACATTCCACACTCACCTGACCAAAAAGTCCCCTTCGCACAGTCTTAATCCTGCTGATGGACCACTCTGCCATGACCAGTTCCGGATGGGTGGTGACCCAGTCCACGTCCAGCTCAGTAGGTAAACGTGACAGAAGACATATCCTAGCAGTCGTGACCAGGAAGTATACTGGGCGCATGTTTGTCTTTTGAACGTTCTCTTTGTCCCGTTGTGTGTGCGAAGGGTCGTGTTGCGTGCGGATGGGCGTTCTTCTGGGATTATCGCGCAGTTGCCAACACCGCATGAGTCGGCAAGGGATTTCTTTTGGGACGTTTTTGGAATTTCGGAACTGCTTCTGTAAAGAAAATCGGTAGAAATATGATTAGAGATAGTAGGTGTACCATAGAGAAAGCCGGGCGTGATGATACTGAAATCCATACTCACGCATATGCGTATTAAAAGTTCAAAGAAGACCCGATTTCTTGCACGGCTGAGCAAAACGTTAACTTATTCTCCGCGTAGTACTCAGCCACGAAAGCTACCATAGCGTATCTCATATACTAGGTCATCAATATCCAGATACGTAGAACACTCTGGTACACAAGTCACTTTAGTGCCATACAATTACACTCGTATGTGAACAGTAATGTGATTTTGCCCTTGCAATTAATTTACGGCGGCAGACTACAACATGGTTATACGCCACTAAAAGCACACTACTGCGAAGTAAAACATACTGCAACCTCACCTAACCCCTTACAGAGCACTTATCATTCGCCACAAACAAATACCGAGGATAGTAGTACCAATCCGAATAAACCACGGAGAGATACAAGCTGTGTACCTGATTACTGCCTGAGCCTTTCTGCTTTGGACCAGCGCTATGGCCGTCTTCATCAGTGCCCGAGTGCAGGGCACACAGTGTTAGTAACAGGTGCAGGTCCGCGTCTATAACCACCTCTCCCGGTAGTGTCCTCGGTCTGTTCGGTCGAGACGAACTCGATGTACTGCCAGACTCCGATACAATACGCTTCTTCTTTTTGGTGATACTTGCTTTGTTTGCCATCATATCACTCAGGTCTTCGTTCAAGGTATTGCCTGAGTGCACATGTGCAGAGGTGTCTGTGGTAGACGCAGTTGACGCAGACGTTTCACAAGCGGTTGCCGATGCCTGTGGTGTCGCTGGGATGTTGCGATCACCCTCGGGAATACCAGTAGAGCGAGCCTACAGAATTGTGGCAGCAATAAAACTCACAGTATAAGGATACTCGCTATCTAATTGGGTTGGAATACGATTGGAAAAGCAATCAAGTCACCACACGATCTCAACCACACCCTCAGAGCAACCATATCCCCGCCAGCTTTGCTAACGTTGAACCCTACACCGTAAACCCTGAAAATCACAACCCCCCTTCTCATAACCCACGCAACCATACCCTAGCCAGTTCAGCCCTTTCTCCCCTGTCTGTCCCAGCAGCAGCTTGTAGGCCATTGCCTCGTAGTCGTTTGGGGAAGGCATACAGCGAGTGCAAGCGAGTAGACAGCACGCGTCGCCCCACTGCCTTACCATAAGACATGTCCACCTCTACCTCCGCGTTGTCCGGCTGACTAGCGGTCTGCACTATACGTATTGGCGCAGTGTGCCGCTCGGATGATTTGTTCCTGTGCTCATCTCCAACGCTTTCCGACACACTATTTCTCGAGTCATTGTCACTATGTACACGTGGGGAGGATGCATGGAAGGTGTCTACTACATTCGATGTATGTGGCAGTGGTTTCCCAACCAATCCGCCGGCGTGAGTCTCATCCATTGATTCCGACTGGTCGTCTCCTATCGCAGCCCCTTCCGACACAGACACCCCACTACTTATTGCGGTTTCATGCGAATTGTCTGCATCGCCAGCTCGCTCGAGAACACTATCCGGATTCACAACGCCCAAGGCGGCTGTATCATGTTGCTCGCCAGGCGACATTGAACCATGACTGTTGCTTGACATGACCTTCTCCCCTATACTTGTACTTCCACTACCTCCACGTACCACTGCTTCCGCCGCATCGGGTGTGTCTTGTGATGAACCCCCACTCTCTCCTACCAGGTGTGAATCAGGGCTGTTCACTGCGCGCCCACGACTTCCCTGACGAGTTCTTTGTGCTGCGTTGTTCGAGTTCGTGTTGTCGTTGGCACCGTTCCATACCTTGTCGTCTTTGCCCTGAGTAGGCACCTGAAATTGGGTCATGTCCTTCTCCAAGCCTGTTAAACTCTCGTACCTCCGGATAATCTGCCCCACCTTCGTACTCGGAGCCACCCGTGCAGAATCGGCTCGTTTGAGACAGCTACTAGTGGCCTCACTCGCTACATCTACCAATTTACCGCCGTCTTCACCAGCTTCCAATCCTTGTTGGTGCTCGATTTCGATCTCACCATTGGCTTTAATGGTTTGCTGACCGGTTTCTGTGATAATTGGTGCATCCTCCTTTCCCTGGACTTGATCCGCTACGGATACTGTCTCGCCAGCCGTGGCTTCTGGTGTCATCTGGATTTCACCATCACAGGTCATTTCCGTGTCAAGCCTAAACAAAGGCACTGGAGGAGCCGAGATTTCCGGTGTGCGTCTCCGTCTTCCAGTCTTTTTCCCACTACCGGACACTGACGTAGACCCGCCCTTGCCGGCTCTCGCAGCCGTACTTGGATCTGCCAGTAGGCGTGGATCTCTACTCCCACTCGAGCTTTCATTCGCATCGAGGGTCGCCTCAGCCTCCAGGCTATCCACCGGAGTACCCAGACTGCCCATTTGCATATGAGCACTTTCTCCATCCACAGCAATATCGTTCGCGCTATTCTTCGCTTTACTCTTACGTTTACTCTTGGGTTTACGTTTAGACTTTGCCCCGGAGTCGGCGCCATCGCCTGCTCGAGCACTGGTTTCCGTACGGCTTTTCGCGCGCCCTTTGGGTACCCATGATTGCCGAACTGGTGCTGTGTACTTTGCTGGTTTCACTTCATCTACGTCCTCTGATAATTTCGGTTCCTCCTGTACTTGATTCGCTTCATCAACGGAGTTTGGTTCATTCGCTTCAATCTACACAGTGGGATGGGATACAAGAGGTGTCTAGTACGTTAACATACGATGTCAGGCCAAAAGCAACTGTGCACGCACAACGATTGCGCGTGGAAGTAGAACACCGCTCGACTGAAAGAATACTCGACGGCCCACGAAAGGCGTAAGCAGTACATATGTGTGAGACTATCTGCCCTCTTGAATACAAAGTGATAGTAGGACAAACATCTCCAGAGAAATGACCGACAGAATTCGGTGAGACAGAAGCCTCGTATTGATGGCACACCTGAGTTGATTGCAGCTGAACTTTGTCCGCATCTACACCATCCACGCTCACAACAACCGATGGAGTATCTACCGCGCTTATAACCGCCGAAGGAGTGTCTGTAGCGGTCTCCAGGAGAGTTTTGTTTACTACATCAACACTCGCTCCTTCTACGGTATTTCCAACGGTTCCTGTCTCAACCTCGCGCAAACCTACCGGGGCAGCGAACTGGAAGGCAAGAGATGTATGGTTAGATGTTACAACAGACGTCTAAAATGCTGTCGAAGTCACTATAGTGTTGCATTGTATGTTGGGATGGAATAAATTACGCAACTTGTGGGCTTGCCTATACTTCAAACGCTTTACAAGGAGAATGAACCGTAAATCGTACATCCGCGTGACTAATATCTGAAGCCTTGCCTATGCGCATACACATCATAAGGCATAAGGTCAAAACACAATTATCACTTCCGACATCTATAGGTCATTGAAACAATCTGGATGATCATTCACGAATCCAAATCTCTCCCAATGCAGCCGAATCTTTGCATCTTAGCAACATACCTTCGCCACGGAATGCTCCACGCTGTTTACTGCCGGTTTAGCTTGTGTGTTATTCACCTTCGCATTATTGGCAGCCGCTTCTCTTGGATCTGAGTACGCGAGTATAGACTCCTGTGCAGCAGGCATTGGGGTTGTGGCACCGTTGGTGCTAGCATTGAATATACCTACCTCTGTTTTGTCTCGTACCGCGCGCGGATCGACGGACCTTTCTTCTTAAGGAATAATATGTATAGGAGGTTATGTGTGAGCGAAATACACTGCAAATCAGAAATAAACAGTATCAGCGATTGTGGGTCATGAAATTCAAAGCATACCGTATTATTATAATATGCACAAATAAGTTTTCCGTTACGATAGCTGAGTGTCGTCCTTTTTCGCGATAAACTGTAGTGAGAGTCGTAATGCTACACGGGCACGGACACAAGCGCATCACGCATAGCTAAGAACATATAGATAATACCACAATGGACTCCTCGTACATGTTACACCGAAATTTGCGCGTATCTGCATGTGTGATGGGCATTAATCTCACCTTGTTTTGGAATCAGTGTTTTTGGTTTTTGCATCTGCTTCATCCAAGATATCATATCGGGATGATCCATGCCCACTTCAGGCGCCAATGACTAAACATTGAATAAGAGATGATTGATATTTGGCGTCAAAATTCAATTTAATATGTAACACCAACGTTGTGCGTTCTACAGCACTTCAGAGATTTTCGAGCAACATATCTACCTATAAAAATCCTAGACAAATTCATTCAGTTGAGTACATGTACATGTATATATATATATATATATATATATATATATATATATATATATATATATATAGTATATATA